AGTTCCTAACTAGTTCAGGACCGGACTTTTTAAGGACTGGACCAGGACCGGACCAGACGGACTTTTTAACATCCCTACTTCCATTGAAATTTTTAAATAATATTTCTGTGTTCCTGCCCGTCAATTTTAGGATACACATGATTTAGTGCATTCTCAGGCGGATTGGTCTTGTTTAATAAGCTTATTGAGATAGATGCGTGCAAACTCCATTAAAGTTCTAAATTAACCAATTCGAATGTGTCGTATTGATGAAGCTAGATGAATATATTATTGGAAATTTTTTTTTAGATATTTTAATACGTAATCACTTGCCAAATTTAAAATTTAAATAAAAAAATTGTTTAACTCAATCCAACTACATGCGTACAATGCTTTAATCTTTTTATATAAAATTTTCTAAAATTTCAAGTATCAACACAAATTTTCTAATTCTAGAAAATTTATATCTAAAATTATCAAATTTAACTAAAATTTTGTTTTTGTGCGAATCTATTTATCGCCGGCGGTGACAGTCATCGGGTTGCAATTGGCCAATCATATCATGGGATCAGGGTAACGTTTATGTAACCCGAAAAAATTAAAATTCGAAATAACTTAAAACTTCACCTTTCATGTTCTAATTAAAAAAATTCTTCGCCAAATTTTACTACATGTGATGCATTGCTCTAACCCTAACTCAACCCTAACTCTAATGATAATTAACCTTTCGTGGTTGGTCAGTTGCAATCCGGTGACCATCACTGCGGCGACGACTAGTTTATTTCTTTGTTTTTAATAAAAAATTTTATACAAACTTAATTTATTTAACTCCTAAAACATACATTACACGACTATTTTATATTGGATATTGAAATTTATGTGACTTGATTCCTAATTATTTTTATATTTGGTCAGTATTGCGATAAATCAAATTACAAACTTTGTTCTTACAATAGCATTCTTCAAAAAATTAAGTACTGAATCATTAAAGATACAATATTGTATTTTAACAAAACAAAAGAATGAACTTATAAATTTTTCTAAATTTAAAGTTTATTAAATTTAAATCAAAATTTACCTAAAATTATTTAAACTAAATTTTGTCTAAATTTTTTGTCATCAGAAAAAATTTTGAATTTTTAGAACTAAAATTTTACGGGTCCCTGCTTTGGCCTGGTCCAACCCGGACAACTAATTGACTTTATAGTAACTAACACTTCTCATATTACTGAACAAACTCAACAGCATCCAAAAAAGAAGCATGTGTATTACAAAACAACCCTCAGCCCATATTTCACCCAGACGTTATCGCACTACGTAGATATTTTTTTTAAATTTAAAATCATTACCCCAAACCAGTGATTATTTTTCGCTGTGCGGACTGTGCGCAGCACACAAAAACAAAATTTTGCGCACATTTTCTTTGGAATTGATGTGCAGATGCGCACAGAAAAAATTGACATTTTGTAAGTAGTGCACATTTGTAAAAAGTTCTCTATAGTTTTTCTTTATTTGTCGCACAGAAAAGTTTCCAAATTGTGCGGCATCCGCACAGTAAATTTTAACTGAAAAATTAACACTGCCCCAAACTCTAGATAATTTTCAAAATTCTAAATGAAATTCATTAAATTTTGGCCAGCACTAAGCAATACAAGCCCACTACAATTTATAGGCAAATTATCAACGAAGCACTTTCACTTAGTGAAGTAAAATTTTGAGTAGCTTTAGAAATTCTGACCCAGCCAATCACGATTCCTATAAATTACGATCCAAAATTTTTTTGGGAAGATTGTTCGGAAACTTTCCCATAGAATTTGCGTCGGAGGCATGCCAAGACCATGTAGGGGGCATTAACAAAGGTAAGGAGTCTCTATTTTTAAATCTATTAAAGCTAATTTTAATACGTTGTAATACGTGTACTACTTAATAAATTAATATAAATTAATTTACAACATGTTCTTTCTATTCATTCAACACTACGTACGACAGATGTCTTGACTCCGATTGGTTAGTTCTTGGTTAACACCAAACAGGATAATTGGTTATTTTACTACTGCGCCTCGGCACAAATACACTTTGTATTACAATCAAAACATACAAAAAAGGTGTCTCCAATTAATATTTTCCTTAACTAACCATGACTTTACTTACGTTCTTTGGCTGTGGTTTGACAGGTATGGCTTTTTAACGTCAGCATTAATTAAATTCTTTCTAATATTCTCAACAATTTCATAAATAGCCTATGGACCGGCTCTTAGCATATTTTTCCTGCATATCGCAAAAGATGCACAACTCGTGATTTTAATGGTATCGAGGTTAGACATTTTAAAAAGAAGCAATTATTCTTATATTGTTTCATACTCTAATACATTTGTAATTTTTCTACAGTGCATTTTTATGGCTATTATCGATACTTCTGTCTTCCCTTATTTGGTTCCTTACAAGACCATTCCATTCAAAAAATGAAACTACGATATTGTACAGTGTTATACTGCAAGAAATATTTCGCTGGTTTTTATTTATTATCATGATGTAATTCAAAACTTATACATGGTATCTTTACTCGATTTAGTTTGTATTTGTTTTCAATTTACACTTTAATTAACGTCACATTCTACTTGTAGGAGAGCAGAAAAAGGCCTTATATTAGTGACTAGTAATCCAAAATCATTATATAATCGGTCTAGTTTTGCTTTTGGTTAGTACCTTTTACAAACATATCGTTATTTATTTATTGTTTTTAAAAAAAAATA